CTGGATCATATTTTATGGAGAGATTTGTCACACCTGCACTTTAAATTATTTTTGACATTCTTTTATTTAAATACACACCTTTCTGTATTATTATGAAAAATACTCAAATTACTCAATTACAACAAACAACAAACCAGAAGAATGTAGCAGATATGAACATTATGTACAACAGGTTTAGTAAAAATCTATTTAAAGTATAAGAGTTTTTACAGTTTATTATACAAGAATTAGGTTTTGTATGTACGGTTAAAATAGGTCGAATAAACTAGACATTTACAGGAAGGTTTGCTGGTTTAAATCATTCTAAAAAAGGATTTTATTTTATGTTTTAAAGAAGGAAGATTAAAAAATAAAACATATTGCTGTTTTGAGGATGCTGTATAAAAGACCAATTGTTTGAATTCATCAAAAAAATGCTTTTTGACTGTGTTCAGGTGCGTGAATGTTTCCTTTTAGCTGCATTTCTCTCTTCAGGTGGCGGAAAATCTAATTTAGTTCCACTCCAACACACTCAGCTATGACCAAATTTTCAAGGTTCATGATTCAGTAGCCGAGAAATAAAAATGACTGTGAATGTGAAGGTTTTTTTTTTTGTTGTCATTCAAGGACTCTGCCAGCAGTCAAATGCTGGTACAGTCTGTCCTGCGGCAGACAACGGCGGGCAGATTTACGTGCCGCTGTGGCTCGTAACCAAACATCAGGAGGCAAAACACATATTCAGAAGATCCTCACAGGCGCTGGGTAACAATCGTCTGAACAAAAGAGGAAAGAATATCCCTCTGTCATTCTCAATGCGTCTTTCTGCCACACACATCTTCATCTTCCTCGGGTCAGGAAGGACTGAATGTGTGTGTCTGTAAGCTGCAGCAGAGGCAGGCAGAGGATCACAACCCTGTAATTGTATTTTACCAACATACAGACATCATTCATAGCGAGGTGAAAATGATAAATAATTACAGCTTTTTCCACCACGACGACGAGTATCTAGCAGACAGTCCACCGTGAGCGATAACCGAGTGTGAGCTAGATACAGTAAATAATGACTGGTCCACGGCGGGCAGACAGAAACACACTACACATTTCACTGAGTCGTCCTAAAACAGCACGTTAGATCACAACAGAGTCAAAACACATTAGCAGCAGATACGCAGAGTGTAACACAGCAGAGGTCACATAAAGTGCGACAAAGTCAGCACGGTTTCACCAAATCAACCCGATTATTAAAAATCCCAATTTAACAAACTTATTAATTTACTCTGCAAAAAACAATGAGAAAGGTGAGCTCACATAAGAGACGCAGTGACGGGCCGCACTGTGTACCTGTATCTGTGTACCTAAACAAACACACAAACTCTTTTCTTTTAACAAAGAAGCAAACTTGTGTGCCAGTCAATCATTTACAAGAACAAAGTCTGTACGGTGTCCTCAGATGAATTGAAGGAGCAATTATAACCAGCACTTCACATGAGCAGCAATCAAAATCACAAGAAGGGAATGACTGAGCTCTAATTATCAATCACATATGTTTAACGAGCTGATTCATTGCCGTCACACTGAGAGACGACCCAGATGAGATCAGAAACGGTGATTAGAGTTACTTTGTGTTTATGTTGCAGGTCTCCAGCTCACGGGTCAATAAAACCCTGTCAAATGGCGCAATTAAGTGTTCAGAGAAGAAACAGGAGTCATTCTGTGTATCAGAAGGTTTGAAGAAGAAGTTTGTAAGGCTGCAGTGCTTTGAGCTAAATGCTAACATCGCCATGCTAACATGGTTGAAGACAACATGTGGTTTAAAGACCTGATGAAACAGAAATCAGAGAGCTGTTTGCTTCCTAGTATCTACGTAACAGGCAGTTAGGGATAGACGCTGTGTGCTACGTCCCCCCAGTCCAGCTGCCGTAGTGGATCCATTAGCGGACTCTGTCGGACTAGGGCTAAGTTGACTAACGTTAGCTGCGTGAGCTAAGTAGTTAGCTAATGATATCTAACATTACTGTTGGCAACAGTTAGCTTCTTTTAGCAACGAGTCCATCTGGAAACTCCATAAGTCACCTCGGTACCGCCGTCATCAAACTGTCCTCTGTTAGTCTCGAAATTGTGTTCACTGGGAGGCTGCTGAGCCCCGTTCAGTTGCAGTCAGTAGAGTCGACGCAAACCAGTCAATATTCTCTCCATAAAATATGATCCAGCTTCACCCAAATCACTGATAAAGTTGTGTGTTTGTGGCTAGCTAGCAAACTAATGAAGGTTCACCTGGACTTTTAAGGGACAGTGGAGAGATGCTTTAATGTCTTTGTGAGTCATTACTATGACTCCATACTACCGTCTGTGTGGTGAAAATAGAAAAGAGTCTGAAATAAATCTTCATCAGCACACAGATACGTTCTCCTCCGGCAGGATTAAAAATCAAGTCAAGTGCATAAATATTGTAGTGAAGGATCTTAACAATTCAGCAGCATCAGTGTCCTTCAGCTGCTGCGAAAAAACCTCCGTGAATTATTTCAACCGGCTCCATCAGTCATTCTGAAGGATTCATTAGCTTAAGTTCATCAATAAATATCTCTAAACTACAGAGAAGCCAGTGTGTAAAAAGGTAGTTTGTCACCGTGGGACGGCTGTAACATTAATCCTTAAAAAATTAGCTCAAAGTACATTTTTCAAAATTCGGGGCATGAGTCATGGTGTAAGTGAAGCTGTCAGTTTTTATTTGAAAAGGCAAATGTCTCATTTTTGGATGAAAACCTGAACCGAATGCAAATTTCCCGTTACGTTTGATGGAGGAAACTTTGTTCCCGTCTGTGCGACCTCTGAGACTGTTAGCTCCTTATTAAAGGTCAGAAACATTACGGTACACTAAATAAATAAAAAGGTAAAAAACAAACCGTGATGGGAAGAGAAGATAGCGCTCAGAGTGGAAGCAGAGAGAAACGAGAAGTAAACAACTCCTCCGACGGCCCCGGAGCTTTAATCTGAAGGACTTTATAACAAACACACCCTGCGGCTCGACTTTAACAAAGTCTCTCTGCTAAATGACTCTCAGACTGCAACTGCAGGGTTTGTCTGATGTGAATGGGTTTTATTATTTCGGGAACGTAGTTTTTTAATCAGCAACATCTGAATAAAAGATTATGCTTAGAGAGGTTAAAGCGCCTTGTTCATAGTGCTCAGTAATTCTGAGGAGGAACACAGGAAAAGTAAAATACACCCATAAAAGTCCCAAAGTGTGTATTTAATTGGGGTGGAGAGTGATAGTGATATTATTATATATATCTATATATATTATTAAACTAAAGGTCTATCTCTGTAGGGATCCTTTCC